TACATAGCTCTCTTGAGTATGTAATAAGATTTCCCAAAAATCCCCCCGACCACTCCCCTCAGCCCTGATCACCTACTGTCACTTACAATGTTTTATCTCTATGGTCACATTAGAGGGTGTGCTAAAGTTCTATCTAGGCAGAAATAATCTTGACCTTGGGAACCAGCAGTTAGCGTAATGGCTATGTCACTGAACTCCCACGTAGTAGACCGTGGTTCGCGTCCCGGACCCAGTGGCTTAAAACTCACGCCGGGCGCGTGTACGTGCGTGCCCAAGATCCCAAGAGGAGAATGGAGGAGAAGAGATTGCGGCATGACCATTCCCCCTGTGGGGGTGATTTCTCGCCTTCTGTCTCTATCTGGCAAGCGCACACGCCCTATAGTGAAAATCTCTCAAAAAAAAAAAAAAAAAGAAATAATCTTGACCTTTGGAAGGCCCTTCAAAATACATTTAACATAAGCTTAAAGATAATCTTTTCTTTACATAAAATAAGATTAGGCCAAAACTGGCCCGGGACACCCCCGCCCTCACCAAGTAAAATAGATAAATATATTAAGATTCCTTAAATTAAGTTTTAAATCCCTATAAAACTATATAAGTATCATTCTTTATTGAAATCCATAAGAACTAATATCTATACTTAATATTTTCTTTTCTCAGCATCGTGCTCAGTAATCACAAGATGGCTGCCGCTGTATCAGCTGATAATTATCTCTGCTTGCTGGAACTGCTTTCCCGAAACTGCATTCCATAAAGACCCGCCTACCGCAATAGACCCACCCTTAATCCAACCCTGAATAAAACCTATAATCCCTATTAAACTAATAATTAAAACATGTAGCCCCTCACCCATTTACTTGCATGTATCACATTTTCAATAAAAAGGCACAATAATTCCTGGCAGTAGTCATTCTTCAGAGAGCGATCTCTGGGGGTGTCCGACTCAGGATGTGCATAAAAAGGCACTGAGGCCTCAGTCTTCCTTTCCTGCGCTGCCTCCGACGAGTCAACCCACCTCCACCCACCTCCGCCGAGGCTAGACCCCAGCAATGGGGGCCAGCAGGTAGCATGGTGACTAAGGTTCTGGACTCCACATGATAGACCACAGTTTGAGTCCCAGACCTGGCAGCTTGCTTTCTCACGTTCTCCCTCTGTGTTTCTTTCTCGTGAGTGCATGTGCTCTATACCAAATTTTAAAATAATAATAAATAAAATTAAATAAATAGTTCTTTAAAAACAAAAAACTTTAAGAATCAAATGAGCGGCCAGCAGGTGGCATAGTGGTTGAGGCGCTGGACTCACATGTGGTCGATTATGGTTCTAGTCCTGGACCCAGCAGCTTGAAACTCAGGCCGGGCCTATATGCACATGTGCCCCAAATCCCAAGAGGAAAATGGAGAAGGGAATGCAGTGTGGCCATCTTCCCCAGGGGGTGGTGATTTCTCACTGTCTCTGTCTCTCAAGTGAGCACATGCACCATATAGCAAAAATCTCTCTCAAAAAAAAAAAAGAGAAGAAAGAAAGAAAAAAAAGGAAAAAGAAAAACCTTTCTGTGACCGTAACCATCCCTTAGGGGCTGCTCTTCAAAACAAGGGGTTCCTCGGTAGTTTATGACTTTGATCTGTGAGAACGCGAGAACCTGATACTACTTACACCTGTAATTAAGTGACCCATGTTTTCTTTTTAAAGTAAAAAACTCAGAGGTTGTCTAGAAACTTGTTAGAAACCATAAAGGAAAAATTAATAGATATGACCATAATCAGAGTTGGTATATGATCAAAACCACCATAATTTCAAAAGGCAAATGAAAATTGGGAAAACATTTGCAATTATTCATTAAAAAAGATAAGTAGGCCCTCAATTCCCTTGTGATTGTTTTTCTCACCCCAGGTGACTGAAACGTGGGTGACAGCCAACCTCCACGGAGGGCCCCCTGACACCATTCAGGCTTGCTGCGTCCCCTCCCGTACTGGACCAGTGTCAGCCTGCGGAGCCACGAGGATGAAGGTGGTGGTGTGTCACCTTTTTTTTTTTTTAAGAATTATTTATTTATTATTTATATAATTAATTATTATTTTTCACTTGAGTTTTGCCAGAGAAAGACCGGGAGAGGGGTGGGAGGAGTGAGAAAGCAAGCCTCCAGGTCCAGAATTTGAACTATAGTCGGCCATGTGGGAATTCCAACGCCTTAACCACCACACCACCTGCTGGCCCAACAATGTGTCACTTCTAAGAGTGGGTTCTAAAGGACACCGGACTTCCACCTTGCTCGCTCGCTCTCTCTCTCTCTCAGATCTGCTGTGTTGCGAGAAGCCTAAGGTGGAGGACCGTATGGCAGGAAAATCAGGTCACCGTATGGCAGGAAACTCAGGTCCCAGCCAACAGCCAAGAAGAAGCTTTGGCTCAGGTCATGTGACCGCCAATGACAACCAAGTGACTGTCACGTGAGGAACTTAGAAGAGGTTCTGGGCCAAGTGGAGCCTTGGCTGTCTTGGCCGAAGCCCTGACTCTGACCTAAGGAGGCTCGCCATCAGGGCCATCGCTGTCCTCTCGTAACTTCTGTCCCACGGAAACTGAAATAACTCAGAACTGTGTGAGCCACTGTGCTCTGGGGTGACTCGCTGTGCAGTAATAGGCGGCGGATGCAAGCGTGCTGTCTGATTTCCAAACAGCTGGGGGCTTCCTAGACAACTTACTGTCATGTCTACGTTTTTCATCCAATTTCTTCATTATTTATTTAACTTTTTTTCTTCTTTATTATCTCTCATTTGTCTCCTTCTGGGACTCATGCTGTTGTTATTACTGTTTTAAAGTATATTAATTTTACTTCTTCAGGGCCGTGCATGAGAAAGTGAAACAAACAGAGGCCCTCCCCAGGGTCGGGTACCACTGTGGTTCTCCCTCCTCCCAGCCCCAGAGCTCCCCAGGATCTGGGGTGACTGCACCTGGCGTGTTGCAGATCAACTTGGAATTCACACACAGCTGGCCCATGGCTCCCAGAACTGCAGTTCAAACGTTACTGCCTGTGCTACCACGTCTAGGCCGGAGACGATCAGACCTGGTGACACTGTCACGTGGGTCTCTGAGTTCTGTCCCTTTTCCCCCTTCTTATCTGCCTGGCCTGGATGATCCATTCTGCCCTCATGACTAACACCTGTGACTCTCCTTCTCGCTTGTCCTCGTCCCCTGACCGCTGGCCCCTTTCACCTCTGCCCCTCTGCCCTGGTCTCTCTTCCCTGCTTCCTTCGAGCCTTCAGATTCAGTGTCACTCTGCTCTTACTTCCTCTTTGCCTTACGTGTTTCCCCCTTTTCTTTGCCTTCCACTGATATAACCACAATGCAGGATTTAATCAAGTTTATTTTCACCTGTTCTGTGTTAAAAAGCAGATTTTTCAGGGCCAGGAAGTGGTGTAGAGGTTAAGATGCTGGACTCCCACATGGTCGACCACAGTTTGAAACCCAGACCTGATGGCTTGCTTTCTCACTTTCTCTCTTTCTTTTTTTTTTTTTTGGGAGAGGTTTTTGCTATAGGGCGCATGCGCTCACCAGACAGACAGAGAGAGACATAGAGACAGAAAGCGAGAAATCACCCTCCAGGGGGGATAGTCACGCCGCAATCCCTTCTCCTCCATTCTCCTCTTGGGATCTTGGGCACGCACGCACATGCGCCCGGCGTGAGTTCTAAGCCACCGGGTCCAGGACGCGAACCGCGGTCGACTACATGGGAGTCCAGCGACATAGCCATTACGCTAACTGCTGGTTCCCTTTCTCTCTTTATTTCTGACTTTCTCTAGTGAGTGCAAGTGCCCTACAGGAAATTTAAAAGTGATACTAATAATAAATAAAACTAAATAAATAATTCTTTTCTTAAAATGGCATATTTTTCTATTTAAAAGCAGCAGGCAATTAAGTTCCACTATTTAGTGTGATCATATAGAATGGTTCCCAAATAAGGACTTTATCCCTGATGTAAGTTTAGGTATCGGCTAGGAGATTCAGTGGTTCCTCTAAAGCAGAGCCAACTGGAGAACGTTTGCAGGCCTCTTAGGTTAGCCTAGGTTTTGACTACGGGACTATAATTACTCCCTTCACCCCAACACTTAATGTTCACTCTGTTAACCTTGTTTCACGTGGTGTAAGAAGAAAGGACAAAACCTGGGGTTTTGCTAATAAAATCTAGAAACATTTCTCCTCTCAAAATAAGGTAGTCATCACCTGAGGCTTGTTTTTTACTCCAAATAACAAATTAAATACTGAATTCACTATTTACCAATCAAACCAAACACTAAGTATTTTTATAATCTTTTTAAAAAGATTTTTGGAGGCCAGCAGGTGGTGTAATGGTTATGGTGCTGGACTCTCACATAGCCAACTGCGGTTCGAGTCTCAGATCTGGCAGCTTGAAACTCATGCCGGGCGTACATGCATGTGTGCCCAAATTCTCGGGAGGAAAATGGAGAAAGGACTGTGGTGTGGCCACCTCCCACGGAAGGTGATTTCTCACTTTCTCTGTCTCTGGTGAGTGCATGCATCACAAAGAAAAAGCACTCTAAGAAAGTTTTTAAAACAAATTCATGACAGAGTGCACATGTGCATGCATGAGAGAGAGACAGAGAAGACCCGCTAACAGGCTCTTGTCACACTGCAGTGCCTGGCTCCTAGTCCTCTTACTTGTTAGGATCTTGGGCATGTGCACATGTACACAGCATGTTTCCGATCAAGTGGCTATGGATCTGAACCTTCTGGCACTGCAGTCCAGTACACGACAGACCTGGCCATGAGGCTGGGCCAGTTTTAAAATCTTTACCATCTTTTCTGTTCCATTTGGTTGCGATCAGAATGTCTACAATGCTGCAAAAACAAACCTGCTGGCAACTTCCAAGCACTGTGGCATTTCACAATTAGGAGCTGGGCATCCCCTAGAGCCCCGCCCAGGAAGCCCTTGCCCTGCCAGCTTAGCAGCTCCGGCCGCGCCCACAGCCCTCAAGCACGTTCCTCACCATTGCTCTTGCTTCCTCGCGGATGGACGGCACCGAAAGGATGCTGTACAGAGCTCCGTTCACGTACGGCTGTATCTTCAAAGGGAGACAAGGAGAGTCATTTGCCAGGTTTCAGACACTGCATGATGTGATTATCAAACACCGCACTTGAGATCAGTCTGGATAACAAGGAGAGAGGGCACCACCGTCCTCACAGCTCTCCTGAGTGCCAGGACACGTTTCCAAGTGACAGACCTCTCCATCTACACGTCCCAGTGACAGCTACAACTAAGGACCCAAAACCAAATTTGGCGTTCTCCCTGAGGTGTTCCTGCTAGGAGCTGCTGCTCACTCAAGGTCATCTCTAACCGTCAGATCACTCAGGCTAGAAACTTGGAGTCTCTGTCAATGCCTCTCTCCTTTTATTCTCCTGGGTTCGGTCTGCAAGCTGTCTTTATGCGAACCTTTCTTTTCCACTGTGTATTCAGAAAGCATGGTCCATGACCTAACCTCCACCAAACCTCCACACTAGCCTCTCTGCCCCTTTCAATTCACCCTGTAATCCGACCATCAGTCATTGCCCAAATTCCTCCTCACGAGCCAAAGCATCTCCCCCCAACGTGGAACCTTCCACAGAGCCCATGGGAAAGGGCTAACTGCTCAGTATGGCACAGGGGTCTGTGAAGAGTTGGCCTCTATTTCATCCCCTCCCTAGCACCATGAAGTTCCCACATGACTTTAGGGACCCCCTGCCCTAAGCTGCTACATGCATTGGCCCTGGTTTCTGCAGTTCGTCCTGTAGGGAATGCTCCCCCAACACCTGTTTGTCTGGAAAGCTGATTCAGCCTTAAAAACTTCAGCCAGACTCGTCTCACATAAAGCCTTTCTGGAATCCTCCAAGTGGGAGGCATGGCTCCACTTCCTGTGCATCTGTCTACTACACTAGAAAAGATGCCTTTCAAACTCAGACTTAGGTCTCCTGTGTGTGTGGTCCTCTGAAGGACCCAGGAATCACCCATGCAGGTGACCTCAATATCGGACAAGGTTAGGATGTGGGGGGCAGATGCGTGGTAAGCAAGGGCTCCCGGCATCCGACTGCATACTGCACTCTCACTGCCATGCAGGACGCTCGCTCCCTCCACCCTTCCAGGTGCTGGACTTTCTTAGCACCTTAACGTTTGCCAGTCTGATAGAGATATGGATATATGTATATATATATATATATATATATATATATATATATATATATATATATATATATATATATATATATATATATATATATATATATATATATATATATATATATATATATATATATATATATATATATATATATATATATATATATATATATATATATATATATATATATATATATATATATATATATATATATATATATATATATATATATATATATATATATATATATATATATATATATATATATATATATATATATATATATATATATATATATATATATATATATATATATATATATATATATATATATATATATATATATATATATATATATATATATATATATATATATATATATATATATATATATATATATATATATATATATATATATATATATATATATATATATATATATATATATATATATATATATATACATATATATGTATGTATATATATACATATATAAATATTAACATATGTAAACATATATTAATAAACATGATAAAGGTATCTTATAATGGTTTTCATTTTCATTTCCCTACTAGTAAAATTGAACATCTTTTCTGTCTATAAGCCATCACGATTCACTACTCTGTGAACAGTTTACTCGATTTCACTGTTGGGCCATTTGACTAATATTTATTAATCTATAGAAGACCTTCATGCATTAGGGACAGTAAACTTTTGTCATATGCAACTTTTCCCTCAGACTACTGTCTGAATTTGGAGTTTGATCACAGCACCTCCTCTGTTCATACAGAGAAGCGCGTGCATCTTGGTCCGTATGACCTCTGGGCTTCGTGTCTCAAGACCACGGTCACTGTCTACAGGACTCAGGGCTGTGCATTTATCTGTGCAGCAAATGCTGCTGGGCTCCAAACGAACTCAGGTACTGTCTCCAGCCCATTTTCAAAGTTGAGCGCTGGCAGCAGCTAACAGGATTTGAATCCTCTGGTCTACTTCGTTTTCAGAGCTGACATACTGGTTGCAACACCTGAACCCAATGCTCATCATGAGCTAGAAGGCTTTCTCTCCACTGGCTTCACCTGCCCGAGTTGAATAAAATGAAAGAACAGAGTTCACTCGGGCCTAGAAGTAGGTAAGAGCTCCCAGTTTTACAGTAAACGTGCCAGCACAAACCGCAGCCACCAGCAAACATCGCTCACCATGGACGTGGGAGGCCCACGCCCACTGACCACTGGCCAAAGGTGTGACTGACACGATGGGAAGGAGAGAGGAGTGCCTGAAGAGGGCACAGGTGCGTGGAACCCATGCTTCACTGGTGACCCAGAGGACTCCCTGTCCTGATTGTCAAAGGGGCTCAGTTTTCTGAGGAGACTTTGGCTCGGGGGAGATGCCCTGGGTTTCTGCAAAGGCTCTGTAGAACACAAGGGAGAGCATAATCGATTTGTTCCAGTTTGTGTTGTCCTCTACCCATGCCTCTACTTTATTTAAAGGGGCTTGTAGCTGATAGGCGAGAAAACCTCAAGGATAATATTAGGTGTTGGAGGGGACATGGTGAGAGAGAGCTGGTGCAGCCGGGTGGGAGGATGGATGGGCAGGACTCTGCCCTGAGCCTGGTGCACATGGTGAGACTGCAGTGGGACTGTCTATACCCCCGGGGGAGCTCCAGTCAGGTCCCAAGGCAGGTGAGGCTATGTCCTTCGAGGACCAGAGTCCATTAAGACAGCAGAGCTGAAGCCCAAAGTCTACCTGTGAGAAACTGCGTAAATGAATACAGGGGTGCAAACAAGAGACTACTTGGCAGTAGCAAGAAGACTTCATGAACTGCACGTATATAAAGCAATATAGAAAGGTCCTTAAAGCAGAACAAAAAGTCTAAAACAAAATGAGCTCTTCATTGCGACATGATGTACGTGAGTTAATCTACAGAGACACAGTATCACATCCGTTTGAAGGCGATGTCCCTATGTGGGGCATACCTTACACACACCAGAGCACCTGCCTGTGCCAGGGAAGGAATATTGAGGGCTGGGTAAAAAGGAGAAAAGCAATGCACGAAAGGCAGGGACAGAGTCCTGAGAGAGGAGTGAGGCCCGGCCTCCTGCGGTTGGGTTCCCAAACTGCGCAATTCAGAAGCCATCTGACATGGCTGAGCATACCCGGAGGGCAGAGGGTCTGAACTTTCCAAGTACAGCGGCTCTCTGGGTCTGGCCCTGGTCTGTGAAGTCACAGACGCCTGGGTCCCCACAGCCGCCCCCACCCCACCGGCCTGGGGCTAGCAGCACTGACTGAGTACCTCGTGGTTTTCGTGGCCAAGCAGATCTGAGAGAACTTTCAGCACGAGGCCTGCCACCTTGGCGCACATGTTCTTCCCTGCAGGAAACAAAAGTGGATCAGACCAAACATGTCTAAACTCAAGGCAGGCTGGCTTCCAGACAGGTCTCGGCACTTCTGCTTTGTGCTCAGGTGACCTGAAGTGAGTCACTTAACCAATCTGGACCTCAGTTTCCTCCTCTTTAAAGCAGGGATTATTAACAGCTACCTCAAAGGGTGAAGCAGACTGAACTCACTGAGGTATGTAAGGGACTCAGCAGGCTGGGAACCCCAAGTGCTCCGTTAGTGGGGTGATTATTAAACTGAGAGTATGCAGCGATTCTTACACCGTCCACCGTGAAAACCATACCTGCGCTCGAGTATTTCAAATGTCCTCACGAGAACCGCTGGAAATAAACTGAGGACAATGAACAAAAGCTTATTCTGATCTGATAAATATATTGAAAGCTAGGAATTTTTGCATATGCTATTTTTTAAAACAGAAGACGGACATAACAGTCACTTGCTCAGTCCACTACATAGTTCAGATTATGAGGATCCAAGGGTGAAGACGTCCCTGACAGCACCCCTGAGCTGGCTACTAATCCAGGTAACCTGGTTGTCCAAACACAGCCTGGGCTTGGCACCCCTTCCAAAGACACTTTCTTCCCTTCCTTTTTAAAAAATTTTTGCCTGGAACCAGCAGTTGGCATAATGGCTATGTTGCTGGACTCCCATGTAGTCAACTGCAGTTCGAGTCCTGGATCCGGTGGCTTAAACTCATGCCTGGCACGTGTGCATGCGAGCCCAAGATCCTGAGAGGAGAATGGAGGAAAAGGGATTGTGGTATGGCCATCCCCTCTGGGGGGTGATTTCTCGCTTTCTGCCTCTACCTCTCTCTGTCTTTCTGGTGAGTGCACACGCCCTATAGCAAAAACCTCTCCAAAAAAAAATTTTTTTTTGCCCAAGGTGTATGTGCTCACCAGAGATGGACAGATAGAACAGAGAGGGAAAAAGCACCCCTTAGTGGGGAATGGTAATGCTGCAATCCCTTCTCTTCTGTTTACACACACACACACACACACAGACGGTGCAGGGGCTGGGATTCGAACCACACAGTAGCCATGTAACACAGAGCCCCCTTAATCACTAGGCCCACAGGGCAAGCCCTAGCAGCTGCTTTCATCATGGGCACCACAGTCAAATGGGACAGCACCTGACAACAAGGCGCGCCCCACCTCTCACGGCTCACGCATAGCGTGACCTGGAGGTGCTCGCGGGAGAGCCGCTGTCGCCGAGGGCAGGGCAGGGAGAACTGACTGGGGGCTATTTAACACCAGCGCTCCTGCCACCGATGGGCTCCTGCCACGAGTCATGCAGCGTCTTGGGAACAACGTTTTGTCTTCTGAGAAGGGTCATATCCTTAACTTCCTGCCTTTGAGTAACACAAAAGGAAAATGCACACTAATTTAATCTCTTCTCCGTGTGGGATCTACACACCTATAAAACATTCTCTCCAAGGCCAGAAAGGTTTCTGGGCTTCAGGCACTCAGCAGCTCTACACCTAGTTGAAATGCTTTACACCACTTCTGTGTCAGTGTTCTACCAGGGACACCAAAGGCAAACCAAGTCAGGCTTGTTGGTAATCCAGACTCAAGGGTCGGGCTCCCCCCCTCCCCACACCAGAACGGGGGCGGGGCAGAGACCTGCGCTCCGGAGGCAGAGGTTCATGAGCAAAGCCACCGAGTACTCCAGTGTGTAGTCGGACAGGCAGTCGGGGTCCTTCAGGATGTCGATCAGCCAGAAGATGAGGCCATCCTGAATCATCGCTGTCTGCAGTGGGCGCCTGGGGTGAACAGGCTTGGATAAATTAAAACTGGCAAGAAATGTCCCAGATACAAGTATATGGTAATGAGATACATAGAGAAAAAACAGCTGTACATAAGACAGGACTCCAAGTGTTGTACTGGGAAGCCCACACAACTGAAGCAACAAAACGTTTTTACCTCTCGGGGATATTATTATGGGTTTAAAGAAAGATAAGGCAGTAAGAAGGCCTCCTACTGGGACCAGCAGTTAGCGTAATGGCTATGTCGCTGGACTCCCATGTAGTCGACCACGGTTCACGTCCTGGACCCGGTGGCTTAAAACTCACGCCCTGCCCAAGATCCCTAGAGGAGAATGGAGGAGAAGGGATTGCGGCGTGGCCATTCCCCTGGGGGATGATTTCTTGCTTTCTGTCTCTTTGTCTCTCTCTGTCTGTCTGGCGAGCGCACGTGCCCTATAGCAAAAAACTCTCTAAAAAAAAGAAGGCCTCCTACTTTATCTTTATTTATTTATTATTTTTTAGAGGTTTTGGCCTTAGGGTACATGCACTCACCAGAGATAGACAGAGACAGTGAAAGGGAAAGTGAGAAATCACACCTCCAGGGGATGGCTATGCTGCAGTCCCTTCTCTTCCATTCTCCTTCCAGGATCTTGGGCACACATGCACACGTCTGGTGTAAGTTTCAAGCCGCTGGGGCCAGGATTTGAACCACTGCCTGTCACGTGGGAGTCTGGTGACAGAACCTATATGCCATCTGGCCCCACGGCCTTCTGCTGTAAAAGCTTCCTTTTCAGGGCCAGCAGGTGGTGTAGTGGTTACATCTCTGAACTCCCACAAGGCCAGCATGATTTCATCTTCAACCCAGCGGCTTGAGAATCATGCCAGACACGTGCAGGTTCATGTCCCAAATCCCAGGAGGAGAGCAGAGAAGGGATTGTGGCATGGCCATCTCCCCTAGGAGTGATTGCTCACTTTCCCGTTCTGTCTCTGTCTCTCCAGTGAGCACACAAGCCCTATTAGAAAAAAAAAGTTTCCTTTCTTCCTTTATTTAAAGGATTATTTTGAATAAAAATGAATAAAATGTATTCATTCGTTTATTTTTATTTTAAGAATTATTCTATTTAACTTTATCCATTTATTTATCCATCTTAATTTGACCAGAGAGGAACAGAGTGAGAGAGAGAGAGAGAGCAAGAAAAAGCATGAAAGCCAGCTGCCAGGTCTGGGACTCGAATCATAGTCGGCCACATGGGAGTCCACCGCCCCCAACCACCACACCACTTGCAGGCCCCATATTTTTATTTTTTAAATAATTATTTTATTTAATTTATTATCACCATTGTTATGTATTTTATTGGACCAGAGACAGACAGACAGCGAGGAAAAGTAGGAAAGCAAGCCTCCAAGTCCAGACTCGAACCGTGGTCGGCCATGTGAGAGTCCAGCACCTTAACCACCATGCCACCTGCTGGTCCCTCATTCATTTATTTTAATTTGACCAGAGAGTGACACATAAAAGGAGAGAGAGGGAAAGTGAGAAAGCAAGCCACTAGGCCCGGGACTCGAACCGTGGTCAGCCCTGTG